AATACTCTCACTGACAGGTATATCCATAAAAATGGAAGCTGAACAAGAGCCATAGGAAGCATTAATGGTATAAAGGTGGAAAACTTATCTCGAGTCTAAAGCACGATACTGAATGAACTTAAGATAGACAATCTGTCCGCCCGATCTTTCTTGCAAATTAAATTTAATAATGCACATGATCGGCCCCCAAGCATACTTGCCACTTTTGGAAAAGTAAAGCCAAAGAAACTGATAAATAATCCTCTAAGTTCTCTATTGTGCTAACAGGTGTGTTCAGGAAAAAATAGCTTGGTATAGCTTCGACAAGACGGCCACTGGGAGGAGAGCTATTCGAATGCTTTCGTCACTTCTGGCAAGAAGTTAAATGTCTAGGAAAGGCATAGGCAAACGCCGGCCCATGATGTCGTCGAGTCCGGCCCGTTGCGCTGAAGACATCAAATAATTCAATTTGCTCGCACATAGCAATGCTGCAAATGAGTTGTGTCTGCCTTCATTACCTCGGCTCGGCTGATCAGCTATCAAGTATGAAATGTGTTTAGGTGTTTGCTTTTGTTTATTGAGTCATAAAATGAGCGATAGTTCAAGAGGTGACTGCAAACATCGTCGTCTTTGACTATCAGAGGTCAAGCATTTAGTTAAGCATTCTATATTAATATTATAATTAATATATATATATATATATATAGTTCGCCACAAGCCAAGTGCATTTTTGTAATAGTTACCTTTTAACTACCACATTAGCAAAAGAAATGAATAACAATTGCGCATATATTATGTGATTCTATATGAAATCATTTTATTTACTATATAGATTCACCTACCAATCCATACATACTTTATTAAGTACATATATGTTGATTTATTTCTTTTATTTTTTATTTTTTATTTCTTATTTTGTTTCTTTTTTATTTTTCTTGTGTTTTGCATAAACTCAGTTAAAGACATACTCTCTTTATTATGAATGGTTGGTTATGTAAGTTTGCATTGCACGCTGCGTGTTCATGTATGTGTTTATTTGTATATATTTTCTTATGTTTAGTTAAAATTCAGCTAAAATATTACAACTACGTATGTTTGTATTAACGACAGTTAATATAAATTTAAAAACGTTTAATGCCCCTTCACGGGCTATCTGTCTCATTATCATTTGTATAAGATATTAAGGTTTTGCATTTTTATGCCTGTGTATGCATCATGTATATGTTTATTTATGTTAGTGTGTGTATATGTTTAGCTAATTGTGCAAGCATATATGTGAAATGTGCAAGTGAATGTGTTCAAACAGAATTTTCTCGAATTAAAATATTATTTTTATTTATTTTTTTTTTTTTGCGCTCTCACATCTACTACTACACCTCAGCGCTTGAGATAAGGCATTATTTTAGTGTGTTTTATTACATTCATATACTATCACTTGAGAGAGGGTATAGGATTTTTTCCATAAAATTTTTATATAAATTTGTATGCAATTAACATTTAGACAATTATAACTTTACCTTAATTACAAACGGGCTAACTAACATTTTGAAAAAAAGAAGAAGAAGAAGAAGAGGAAGAATAGATTTTGCAAAAAGAAATAAATAATTCGAAATACATAAAACTTTTATAGGGCCATCATAGATCGACTTGGGGGTTATGTAAATTCGACTGTCATTACCAATACAATGATGTGAAAAGAAGCTGTTCATGCCAAAATGGGAATTCGATAAAATGTATTAGCATTACGTCAAAATTGGATGAAGTGAAAAGTACTTTCATATATCCACCACTAGGTACACATAGCTCTGTCATTGTCTCCTCTAATATGTATGTCCTTCAGTCCGTTTCATACCTTTTGCAATGGTTTCAAAAAATACAAATTATTCTCGACTGAACGAGTCAATGAAAACTCTCTTTGCCGGCCGCGGACCTAAATTCCATGCAAATTATTCGCTCTAAGATATTTCTACCCATCGTCAACAAATGTAATCGGAAATGTTATACAAATGTGCACATTTTTGACCGTCGTGCAGTTTAGTATGATTTGCTATCCGTTTTGTTTTACTGAAGCTCTCATCCTGTAAAATATGTAAAGGTTCTCGTAATCTGGTCAGGTCATATGCTTAGGATCGTGAAAGAAAACAATGGTGCTTATAAATTATCCCAACAGGATATTAAGAAGATCGACTGCATAAACAGCTAAATGAAACGATCGGCCAATTGACAAGCCCTCACTTTTTGCAAGACTGCAAGTGTGAGAACATAAAACGTATCCCGAGTCAAGTGCAATATTCGGCCTCGTACTTTATACTTGTAATACTGTACAAGTCATGTATATAGGCGGCACAACCAATCTGGAAGACATGCATGCTATAGTCATGAGATTCGCAAACTAAATTTTTCGCAAAGCTTTTTTTTCGAAATCTATATACTATACCAGAGTCATATAATCATTTTCTATTTACGAAGCAATAACGAAATAAAGACAGAAAAGACTTTTTCTAGACTAAAGGAAGATACTAAATCAGTTGAGCCATCATCTGTCAGATCTTTTTTGCAAATAAAATGTAATGTGGCCGTGAACGTGATCAATAATCCCTACCAGCCAAAATACGCGGCACGCAACATTGACAATTGTTATTTTAATGCATTTTAATGCATGATAAAAAGTGCAGTGAGACCCACTTCTTATATGTCGCCAAAAGTTGAAAGCTCCTATGGATTTTGAATTGAGTTTCAAGCAGACGCCCCTAAAAGTTATGGCTAGCAATACTTTCAAGAGCAAGATCAAGGCAACGTATTTTGACAAGCTTTAAATTGAAACTAACAACGATTTTCATTCTTTTCTTGTTTCCAACATCAACCTGCTTATAACAAACCGACAATGCATTAGCAGAAGCAGTTTTCATCTTAGACCAACAGTTAAAATTTAAATATTCTTTTAATATATATTATTTTTAAATGAAAAGGGGGATATGTTTTGCATCACAATTTAGGACCATTTGGGATCTCGTAAATATTGAAGTCGAATTTCAATGTACAAGCGATGAGTCCAAGCACAGCACTGCTATTGTTCTGGTTTGGGAATGAGTGCAGCGCAGCCATTCGAAAAGCACTTTCTTTGCAAGAGTTTTTCCTTTTTCTTTTCTTTTTTTTGAATTTTAAATTTGTATTAAAAAGTTTGAAAAGATAAAAACCAAAGCGTACAGGATTAATTTGTTGATTTCGTAACTCCTTCTGCTTTAATAAAAGATTATAAGCGAAACCCCATATAAATCTAAATCTTTAGCTTCTGATTTAAAAAAAAAAACAAAAAAAAAAAAAAAAAAAAAACCAAAAATTTTCTTTAACAACACTTGAAATTCAATCGCAATGTTTGACATTTAATGAGGAAGAAAGTCGGAAACAATCTAAGGGTAAATCTGCGCAGAATATGGAACTAAAGTGATTTAGCGAGAATTATAAAAAACCATAAGACCGATTAGATTGCAATTCAAGCCGAAAGGTATTCGAATGTTTTCTGCATATTCACGCAAACTACTCGATTTTACAGTGTTAGTCAAAAAAATTACGATTTTTTCCTTTTCTAGGAGCAAATATAGGTTTTTTAGTTTTTCATTGCTACTGATTGATAGCCAGAGGTACTTCTATTTGAAGTTTCCTTTGGAATAAACAAAGTAATTTTATGTATCCGAACTTCCTTTCATTTATAGTTGTATACGTCCGTAGGTCCGCTTCAATTACATCACTTATTTCAGGAGAATATGTAATGTTCTGCGGATCTGTCCGTTCTATATAGATCTAGGTTTAACAAGGTTTATTATACTAATACTTGAAAGTGAGTTGATCGCTTGCCACATACCTATTTGAAAAAGATTGCTTTATAAAAAAAAAAAAAAACAAGACGTTTTTTTGATATTTTTCAGTAAAAACTAATAAATGTTGCATTTTGGTATAATAAATACATGCGGAATTTTGCGGAATAGGATGAGACCATTTATGGGAGTTTTCCCCAAAAAAACATTCTCAGAAAAGTAAGGTCTTTCACACATTTGTGTACATATGTACATATGTATATGTTGTGTATAGACGATATACGTAACATACTACAAACTACTTCCGGAATGTCTCCTATATGTGGGTTGTGATCGAGAAGCGGTAAATTTTTGATATCTTATGACGAAAATTGGTTCAAAAAGCAAATTTAGCAGGTAAGATTTGAACCACGATATACAATATATATATATATATATATATATATGTTTCGGATCGTTTCCATATTTAGGGGCTATCATGAAAAGCAAGCCCTTTGCCTCTCAACAAAAATGTCAAAATTTTTAATATTTTATAAATTAATTAATTGAAGGGTTGTATTAATTAAAGTGATGTAATATAGTATTTTATGGTCGGCTTAGCCTGACTATTACATTTTAAATTGTTTTAATCGTTTTTTTTTTTTTTGAAAATTCAAAAATTGAAAAAAGAGCTTGTAAATGTATATAAATAGACAAGTGTAAACTAAATATCTTCTTAATAATACGATCTTTGATGATTTGACAATTTTTAAATATATAAATATTGAAAACGTTTGTTTAATTAAAGTTCGTGGTAACAGCAGGTAGATAGTAATTATACGAAAGCTTTAACAGTAACCTTTGATTTAAATAATTAATCGCTTTCATTGCATATGCTTTTACATAATACTATGCACACAATGTTATGTATACAGATACAATATTTCATTTTCCAAAAATTTTTTTTCTCATAATTAATAGTTGATTTTTCTTCTTTTTATAAATTGTTCTACTTTCTCTCTCTATATCTCTATCTCTCTCTCTCTCTCTCTCTTTCTCTCTTTAATTTAAACTCAAAAAGTAAAATAATTCAGATATTTATTATTTTCACAGCACATTTTTCATTGACAATTGTTTATCTCAATTAAATTTTTTTTTTTCACTTTTGCTATTATTATTATTATTATTATTATTAATTTAATTTTACTTTTATTTACCTTTTTTTTGTTTTTTTTTTTTTTTTGTTTTTCTTCTTCCCTTCTGAATGTAATGAATACCCACAAGTTGTCAAAGTAAAACTATTAAAAATCATTACATATTTTGTACAATAGTGTATCTGTAGTATGCAAAATGCATTTAATTGAATTCTTATACAGATTTTTCCATTACTTCAAAATTCAACTTAATAATAAAATCTTAAACTCTTATACGATATTTTCAATAAATTATAATCACATACATATACACATCGTCTTTCATCACGTATACAACAGCACTGTATGTATGCTTTCATAACAATTTTTCATAAAATATAATCAAATTTGTAGCTTTAAAGATTCATCCCTCTTTGTAAAATCCGGAATCAAAATCTACTTGAAACGTTTTTTAATTTAATTAATATTAAGTAAAATATAAACGAACGCACTCTAAATCTATCGTAAGAATGATTGAAATAAATGATTATCGAATTCTCATTTAATTTATTTACCATATAAAAAATGGACGTATCTATTGGGACTTATTGGACATTGGACTATATTATCTATAAAAATACGTTAAAAAAAAACAGAAAAAAAAAAAAAAAAAAACTTGATTTACATACACAGCCACTTTTATCGCTGCTACAAATGCTACAAAAGCACTGGACTATTGGCAAAAGAACTTACTTTTACTCTATCTACGGCCAGCTAGAGGAATTCCATTTGGAAATATGCAGACGTTTAATATTGAAAACTTCCGGACATACCTTGGGCAGCCGCCAAAGGTTAAGGTTATTTGTATCAAATCATTTTTGTTTTTTTGTTTTTTTTTTTTCTTTTTCTTTTTAATTATATATATCTTCATATCAGATACATTAAATTATGGGCAGCTAGAAGTTATAATATTATATGGAAAACATTTGAAAGCTCTCTGTAATGAGTGTTCTTCGTCAAAAAGCAGACTTTCGTCTGATAAACGTATCAATCAACTTACCCAAGTAAGTTTAATCTATGGGTAGCTAAATAGGTTTCAATCATAGATAAGGCTATATTGAAGGCATTTTGATATCAAGGCGGCAAGGTATCCTTGAAAATATTTCTCTTAAGCATTGACTTACGGCCAATAGGTTTTGATTACTTATTTAGCAAACAATGTTCCACGCAAGAGATAATATATAGTAAATCGTCAAGAGCGAGTGACCGGGAGTGAACATTATAACCCCTTTCCCTTTAAAAGACAGCAAATTTATTGCTATCGTTAACCCTGCTTTAATGTCATTGAGATTTGCTTATGCTAGAAATGATTGGGATTGAAGCAAACGTTATTCCAAGGAAAAATTGTATGAAATTTCCTTATATCCGTTTCTCTCATCTCTGATTCATTATATTTTTTGTTTATTTCTTCATAGCCTTATTTCACAATTTGCATATAAGTTAAGAAAGTCTTTAAAGAAACGCCATAAAATTGGAGGGAACTTTTCCCTCCTAATCGATTTTATTTCCAGCTTTCCAACGCCATTGTCTTAAGCACTTGGAAGTTAACATTAAGATAAATGTAAAGGACTTCCCGTGCTTTTGTCATTATTATGGTTGACTAATGGCAATTTTGAAAATGTAAAAAATTATAGCGAAAGTAGTAAGAAACTAAAAGAAGCTAAAGAAGCTCCTCCGTAAGTCAAATAATTGCCATTAATTGATTGATTCATTCACTGATTGATTTCATGAATAATGAAAGTGAGCAACAATTCAGTCAGATATCATTCGATTAACGCGCAAATGTTCAAAATATTATTGGGGAGAAATATTTCAACTTTTTAAATATTTATATAGATGAACTTATATATTGAATATCGAGAAATATCTGCTGATAGATCTATGTATATGCTTAAGTACAAAAATGATTGAAATTTTTTTAAACGTACTTGAGAAACGCTTTTTGTTTCGTGTTTATATGCATGGATATGAGCTTAATTTTATTAAAGTTTATGGAAATATAAGGCCTGCATTATATGCGGCATAATTTCCCATCCTCTTCTTCTATTATGATGTTATTAGAATTTCGTAATGCGTATCTTCTTTATAGTTTGCCGATTTTCTTATTTTCTTCATTGCTATCATCATCACCATCATCATCATCATCATCGTCATCATCATTAGCACCATTGTCGATGCCATCAGTTCCAATATTATCGATAAGACCACTGCGATCATCATCGATCTGTATCTTCTGATGCGACGAATTGCGTGAGTGCTTCTTATGATTAATTGAATAACCGGTAACGGTGCCATTGCTACTGGAAATTGAGGGCACTTGTACCTGATGTTCATTATTACACCCTGCTATTGGGGAATTTAAGATATGATTGAGTTCTTTGGAGTTGGTGCGACGGTGCCGCAAAATGCTTAAAGTGCTTTCCGGTGTTGCCGTCGTTATAACAGGAAGCGCGGCTGTGGGCGTAATTGCTATCGCATTATTACTACCTGCTGTGCTAAGAGAAACCTTCGTGTTTAAGTCTTTTGAATTGTTGCGTGAATGGCCTCGCGATACGGCCTCGGTTGTTTCATTGGAGTTTTTCTGCTTGCCCTCCACTACATTTTTGAGCAAATTGACATTTTTCTTATTGTGACCGCGTAGGAACTCGGGATCGAAACGTATATTATTGGGCATATAAATTTGATCGTAAGAATGATTGCGTGAATGCTTGCGCACAAAATGACCGCAACCAGTGGTGAGTTCATCTTCGTCCTCCTCATCTGCTTGCGGCTTTAATTGATTTTGAATATAGCGTATACTTAAGGCAGGATCATCTCGTGATATCGAATTACTTTGGGCTAATAGCTTTGTGCGGAATTCAGCGTTAAGATCGCTTGAGTTATTCCGTGAATGCATATGTATTTTCTTAAGATTGCGAAATTTCGATGATTCCCCAACATCCATATTAGCCACATTAGTGTTATGATCCTTAGCGAAGCTACGTATCATTTTCACGTCACACGATGCACTGCGGAAATGTTTTTTCGATTTTGTTTGTACGGTTGAAGACGGTGTCACCACTATAGTATTATTGCATTTGTCGTAACTAAAAACGCGAAATAAACACAATTTGCTTTCATTATATAAAATAGAGAATATTCAATAATAAACACTTACCCATATTCTAATTGTATTGTACGTGAATCATTTCGCGAATGACGGAATGTCTCCTCTTTATGTGCCAAGTCATCATCATTCTCATAATTAAGACTCGTCTCTGGACCATAAATTTTTTCATCAAATACTTTAATAAAAATTTTGCGAACAAAAAAAAAAAAAAATTATTTAAAAAAACAACTTTTTATTTAATCAACACTTACGCTTATCGAGACTAATAATGGAGCCAATTACAGGATCATGGGTATTTAGAGGCTTCGTTTTATCCAAATGTCTACGTCTGCGCACCAACCACCAATCGACAATGAATATCCCTAATGCGATAATTTTTACTGAAGCACATAAACCTACATATCTATAGAAAGTGAAAAAATGGTCATATTTTACTTTATTCTAAAAATCTTTCTTGATATAAATAATTAAAAGGACAACTTTCATTGGAGCAAATCTTTCGTTATACTACGATTTCTTTCGATTTTTCTTTACTTACTTGTATCTGAATTTTTCAATGTCGTATATTAAGCAACGCCCACCTTTCTCACCGCATGTAGATTTCCATAACAAACATGTAGAATCGATTAGATTACCGAATAAAATAGGTGCTGGAATATAGCCGAATAATCGAAATATCACGAATTGCATACCCAATGCAAAAGAACGTTCTTCTTCGGAAACAGAACGCAAAACAATCATCAGTAAAGGCATTTGTGTAGCTGCCACTATGAAGGTCATAAAAAATAATAATATAAGAAATGGATAAATCGTTCGGCAAGGTGTGGTACAGGGACCGGCAGTGGCAACAGGAACAACTGTGACTTCATCAAAATGTCCGTTAACATTTAAGGCTTGTGCTTGACTACCGCCAGTGCGAGTGCCACGAAATATGCTACTGGATGTATTCGCATGAACACCTGAAATCAATATCGTTAAAAAAAAAGGTATTCTTCATTATTATCTCATATATAGTTGTAAGACTTTATTAATTACATATATACGGTAATCCATTAGCCTTTTTGGCAAGTGTACATGAATAGAGACTAATGAACATATTTATCGAGATATGTAAGTTGGATCTTATATCTTTCATAGTCTAATCGTTGGAACAAGAAACATAAGACAATAACCTAACAATACTAAAATGACTGCCTTTGTCCCCAGTTACAGAAAGATATTTCGAATTCAAAATCCCTCGTCGACTTTTTCTTAATAAATATTAATTCACTAAGTTAACAACCTTTGAAATACTTCTTTTTAGAACTGGAACATTACTTTAACGATTGGCAGAGGTTTCGCCTTCAAATTGCTTTAAAGGAAAAAGTTGAACCAAAATTTTCATTCAATTTTCTCAATAGAATTTCATTTCAAAAATACTTCTTTTAAGACCTCGAATCCCATTAAATTAATTAAGTTCGACGCTTCTAACAAAAATATCGACAGATGAAAGAACATAATTAATGTGAATGATTAAAGGGTGAGAAATTTATACGTGAGATATTATGCCTCTTTACATGATGATCCTGCATGCATATGTTATACTTACAGGCACAATTAGTGTAATTCGAACTTGAAGAGAATGCTGTGCAACCAGCATGACATGGACTAAAATAGGTTAAACCGTTATTGCCGCATACAGGTTCCACATCACTGGTTAGGCATTCGCATCCGAAATTACATGCCGCCGTTAGATTAACTTGAAATGGTTCAATTGAAGCATGCTTAGTATTATTATAATACGGTATAGTTGTGCCGGCCATCTTTAAGTTATCGCATCCCAGAAAGAAGAGCAAAGCGTAACAGCCCAAACAGACGATATTCGAGACCAGTACAAAAGTCACTGCACCTTTTGGTTTCAATTGAAATCGTTTTAATATGCAACCACCAATAAAAATGCCAATGCAAGCTCCAGGTATGGCAATGGAACCGGTAAACACGCTTGCCTGACTTTTGCCTAAACTGAATTGAGTTTCCAAATATTTTGGTAGAAAGACGACGAATCCCGATACAATCATCAATTCCATGCATGCACCCAAACAGGTAACAATATACACGGGATTAGTGACCAAACGTAACATTGATTGCGGTATGTCTGCGGTATACAAAATTTAAATTTGAGATCAGGTCTGACTTGTATATGACAATATACAATATGTATATGTATGTATATATATACATATACCTTTGATATCCTTTCCGTATCCTGTGTCAATTATCGGCTTCTCAGTTTCCTCTTTAGCAGTGACAGCCACAATTTCTTTTCGGATTTTACCCATTTCATCAGTATTTCTAGGCAAACTATTTGAATTATTCGGGATAGCTGGCTGTACCAGTACGGAAGTTTTTCGTATTTTTTTCTTTTCATGTGTAAGTACCTGTAAAGAATAGTAATTTTGTAACTGTTATTTATATATCACGTGAGCAATAATTATTATTATTATTATTATACTTTAGGGAATGAGAAGAATGGTATCGCCACAATTAATAGCATGACACCACATAGTAAAAAACCACCCCACCACATGCCTACCCATCGCCTATCGCCTGGATCTGCAAACATTTCGTATTTTTAATATGAAATATTATCTTCATTATGTAAATTTTCTTCATTTTCATACCAATGGAAATGATAGATGACGACAACGAATCCATGTGAAAGGATAATAAATAGGCGCCTAATAAGAAGCCGACGACAGGACCAAAAGCAGCCATACTATACATACAACCTATGTACATGGAAGAGCTTTCCGTTTTTACATGGTCATCGACATATGTTGTACCTAACGTAAATAATGGACTACCGCCGCATCCTAGCAGCAGCTGAGCAATTACAAAAAGTAGCACAGGGCCAAATGTTGACAACTTCACCTCCAAGCAATTATCTTCACGCAAAGTGTGCGGCGCCAGAGGTGGATTTGACAAACCACTCGATAATCTCCCTAAATCCATATCTTGGTTACGAATCAAAGCACTACGACAAATATTGTCACTAGTCTCGTTGATAATGGTAACTCCAGGATTCAGTTCGCCCGTAAAATGGGGCACCATAAAAATTAACGAGCCTACGCCCATAATAACAGCGCCTGTAAAAATTTAAAAATAACAAATTTTATATTTATTTATTTATTTAATTTTTTTTTTTGCTTACCAATTCCAATCCAAACCGGAATATGGCGCCTACTTCCTAAATAACTAACAAATATTACGGTTATCACATTTCCAATTTCATAGCTGGAAGCTATCAGTCCCGAATAACTTGAGGGTATTTCAAAGCGTTTCTCAATTGTCGTTATTACTGAATTGATGTATCCTGAACTAAGTGCCTGCTGCAAAGTGACCAACATAGACAGTAACAGCACAAATATCTTAATGCGAGCATATTTTTGTATGCCGCGCGGTCGACATCCCAAAATGCCGCAATCTTGTGACTGCAAATCATTGTCATCGTTATTGAGGCCACAGGCGTTATTATTATTGCTAGTTGTCGCTGCCGCAGTCGCATATGGACCATGCAAATTACTATGATTGTGAAGTGCATTGCTGCTGCACAAGACAGCCGAAGATTGACGACTATGACATTTAATAACGGTGTCACTGGAACAGGAGGAAGCTTTTGTTTGTAGATTGCGGGTATTGTTCGCGAGAACAATGGCTGTTGTTTTGGCAGTACTACTAATGGCCTCTGGCCTATGATTATCTTGTGCTATATCAATACTGCTGTCATCACCACTGTTCGTTTCCGAGTAGAGACCTGTCATTTGGTACATTGACTCTTGACGCCTGCAAAAGCCAAAAATAAAACTTTGAAATTTAATTTAATGCAATCGATTCTCTTTCCTATCTTTCCGTTGTGCTACACTTATTAATTATATAACTCAAGTAAATGTATTCTCGCCTGACAGAAATATTGACTCTATGCACAAGTCATAAGCAAAAATACGCTATTATTACGTGAAACGAATGCTTCAATTTACGTGTCTTTCGAATGTATCTCGAATTATCTGTCCGTATCACTCGATTGGCAATATTAGACGGCTGTGTGTTACAATGCATTATTAAAAAAGTTCTGAAAGGAACTTTTAAAGGTAAACTAGAGTTTTATCTTTTCATAATAATTTACTCACAGATATATGCTCGATTTTTTTTTTTAAGTGTCACTATTCAACTGCCTTCATGTTAAGCAAATCCCGTCTTATACGTGTCTTCAAGAATGTTTAACATTTCCGCGTATCTCTCTTATCTGCTAGCTTTTCGGGCAATTTTTGTTCTCTCTTCTATTCTTCATTCAAACTTACACACTTTGCCATATCTTTAATAGGGTAATAAATTCTTCTCGAAAACGTAACTATCTTGAGTCTTTGTAGGCTATCTACTTATACAGTTTTTAGGTATTATAAGATAAATGAAAAACCTATTGCGACAGATAGCAAGTCAGGAAAATGAAATGAATGTCGATCAGAAGAAGTAACGTCTAATGAAGGCACGGAGGAGCTGTGAGTTTTCTCTGGACCGTCTTTGCCATTGAAATCAACCGCCATTTACTATTTTATTGTAGTTATCTCCTTATTGGCAAGCGCAAGAACACCAGCTGTTAATAATGTTCCTCATAGGTACTTTCTTTGGGTTGGCGCTGCTTGCAATTCATTACATGCCGTTAATCTCTCTGAAGCTAAATGACAGAATCATTTGACTTGTCCGCCGGCTTTTATGTCAATGACGCATACCATAATAATATATAACTCAATAACCACATGGGACGACATATAGAAGTCGAGACTTTTGATTTTGTAAGACAATGGAAAAATCTAAAATGCCATGAGATAATTCAAAAAGCACTTGACTATTTCTTATACCGAAGAAAGTCAGCCTGGGGTAGTTTACCCGTCCAGATGCCATATGCTTCTTATGTTCTTAGAATATTCAGTGTCGCAAAATTGTAGAGAGATCGTAAGTAATTGTGAACATGTACAGATCAAATCTATCAATGAATCTTATGCGGAAGATTATCGGTCATTTGCAAACGATAGCAAAAATTGATGAAAAATTTTGTACACTGTCAGCATCATCTAAAGCTTTAGAGACCTATTGCCCAATTGAAGTGGTCGCCATTTGCTTCAAAATCATTTTGTGTGCATTTAATTACTTGCCAAAGATCGATTAAATAATAGATCGACTCCTCTCATTCAAAAGGGGAAAACTGATTACGTATAGTATTTTCGAATCGGTCTAAGCTGAAACATAACCTAATTCTTGTGAATTTAATGCCTTTGTAAGATTTGCGTGGCATTGTCATAATGGGAAAAGCATTGCCTGACTATTTGTTACAGTTAGTGAGAAATCTACTAATATCGATATTTATGTTTGTTTGTAGTTTGATAAAAAGTATTTAAAAACATCTGTCTCCATTGTAATCATTTAAATTCTGTTTACACATAACGTAGATATAAAGATAATCTTATGTTAGAAAGTCAGAGTTAATGCAAAGGATGATTAAGATAATTAACGACGTTTTTTATGGGCAAAAAAATTGAAAAAAATAAATTTTTTTTTTGGCTACTTTGTGTACTTTCGTGCCTTAAATTAAATTTATTGCATGTTTCTTTTTAACACGTAGTAGTGTACATATCTATATAAGCTGCAACCCGAACGAGTGATATATGATAAACAGGCTTTTTATAAGCTTTTCAGAGACCTGGGCAAAAACATAAATTGTCGGGTCTTTTTGTTTTCTCTTGTCTATAAAAAAAATCACAAATGAATGTTAGTATCTCGAGCACTTTCTTCAGCATCGCCTGTCGAAGAAAATTTAACGCTGCAATTACCTAATTGAGGCCCCGATTATTGGTACAGTACCACTGATGCATGAATACCCATTCCGCTAAAAAAAAAAAATTGTAGGAAATTTAATGAAAACACTTTCAAAATTTGTTTTTGTAAAGATGGACGGAAATATCAGAGAAATAAACGGACAGACCGACAGACATGCACGGACAGTTTGACTCAGAAAGTGTTGCTGAATTAGTTTGTATGTTTGTATAGCTAGATCTATCTCTCTCTGGCTCTTGCGTTCGTCCGCAGTTAAACTTAACATGCACTTACCACAAGTGTAGGGTGTAAAAATAAAAAAAATTAATTATTTTTCAAAAATTTTGCAATTTAAAACTAAACGAATTAAAATACTTTTATTTGCCCCTTAAATTTATTTACTTCATCTCCATGTCGAAATGTTGTCTACAGGAAAATTGTATGAGTTTTAAAAAGAGATGACACTCACTACGGATAAATGTTCCAATAAAACATACCGTAATAATGGCTTTCACTTAGCATCACTGACGATTACTTCATTAACTTTAATCCATGAAAATACGTAAGGTTTTGCTTTACATATAATGAAGGCTTAAGAGGGAGACCACTCTAACAGTGTAAAAACAAAAGGTGATTTTCAACAATTTTCTTTTTTGTGGAAGACTCGATATACTCGACTTTTGTATAATTGGCTTGCATTTGAATAAACAAAGTAACTTGTAAACGGTGTCAAAGTAAATTTAAATTTAATTATCCAAGAGTTCTACCATCTCACTTAACGGACCTCTGCAAACTCCATAGCATAGAGCTTTGTTAAGTGGCCAGGATGAAGATATAATTGGACTTGGAAGCCGTCGTCCGTCCAAACTACGAAATACAACATACTTTAGTGAACACCTAATAAATCTATATAAAAATATGTTGCAACCCAGCTTCGGTTTTCCAGAGCCATTTTTTCCAAACTTTTACTTCTTTTAACTATTTTTTTAATTTTCTTCTGATGCGGTTAAACCAAAAAGCTCAAACGCTATTCACTTATATCACGTGATTTTATATGGAGTTACCTTCTACACAAGCTAAACGAATTCAAACCCGATTTTCAAAAACTATTTTTACAAAATTTTTGAAATTTGGTATTTTATAGCATATATCGACTATGAGAAAATAGTCGAGTGCGCGCAAACTCAAAAAAAAAAAAAAAATGCCAACGATATTCATACGCAACATAGGTAAAAATAAGTACCTTTTTTTTTGCTATCACTACAAGTAAAAACATTATATTACGGCACAGATCCCCTACATCACTTCTCTTAGCACAATTGTTTATATAACAATTTACCAAAACAAAATATTATACGAACGATAGTGTCGAAGAGTGGTCCGAGAGCGTTAATGTTTGAGTCAAAATACTTTAAAAATTTCCGCTCATACAAGCATGTATGGACAGACAGGGAGATAGACAAGCTAAGACCGATTCACAATCACGATCGATACTTATCGGTATAATAAAAGATGGGCACATCCTAAGTCCTTCTGGATGATGTACACATCCGCACGAATCTAATATAATGTTGTACCACACCCCTTAAGAGGAGATATTCAAAAAATGAAAAAAAAAATATATATATATATATATGCAATAAGTAACTTCCATACCGGGCTGCCTATATAACTACAATGTATCTCGATGTCCTCATTCTGCGGGCAAACATGCCGAACGGCACAGACTAGGTATGTGAATCTTTGTATCTAAAGGTAATTTCATTGAAACTGCGCGTATTGGTTATTAAGTGCAATATTCCTTATATGGCGATATATCGTTTTTCGATATTAGCATTACATCAATGTAAGCAGACTTTGAGAACAAATGAAAGCCGAGATCACATATGGTTGATTGCTCGCATCAAACAAGTAATAAAATTTTTGAAATTTTTCCATCTTTCTCATATAACACAAGAATGAACAAAGAATTCATAAACATGTAACAAATTCCAACAATTCAAAGCTCAACACTTTGAATGTGTCTGATGTTGTCAAATTTGTCACTTGATCTTTTGTGAAAAAAATCGCAATCTGAATTAATCGAAAGAGCGATGTTCTACTTTTAATATTTCACGGGTATAACCAATCAACGAAATTCTATCTGTCTTACGCGACATTGATACCTTTTTGATTGCTTTAAAGTGAGAGACGACTCATTAAAGGATCAAGTATTTTTGATTTTCTATTATAGTTCTTTTGTTTGAACCCTGCAAATGATCTCATCTAACATGCTAGGTAGGTCATTTTTGTACCTTTTGAAAGCAACGCAGGTGTTTTTTACAAAACATTTGAAAATATTTTCTAAAAAACATCTGTGCTGCTTAACGAGCTTAATGAGAATGTGGCGCCCATTTTATCAATAGTTTTCTCATTACTTCATCAGCTAGGATTTCGTATCTTAATGATCGATGATAACAAAGAATTTTCACAATAATAACACATGGGGGATGACGTGGACCCTCAACGAAAATAATTCATTTACATGCCATAGAGTAATAATCCCTAATAGCAAATCATGAAAAATCTCTTCTTCTTTTAAGCAAATAATCAATTCCCTAACTGACTTTGCAAACTTTTCTTCCTTTGTATTTTTATAATAAAACAAACTATGTTCCTTTTGCATCAGCTACTACAGTACTACTAACAAGTTTTAATAATTGCATCGCTTGTGGTAATGGTAAAATGTATGTTAAGTTTGTCGGAATGGGCGCAAAACTTAATATATAAATGTGTAGATGGGATGAATGAGACTCCATGCTTTTTTTGTTCAAAGTAAACGATTCAGAAAATGGTTCCGATTTACGCCTACCTATCTATCCGTACGTCCACGCAGTATAGTGCACAATCCAGAGTCCATTTTGACAAAAATTTTGTACACCGAAGTGTTTTCATCCCTAAAGTCAGTCGTACCAATAACGGATTGAATAAAATTGTTTTTATAATTAATCCCCTAGATAAGGCATGGCAAAGTATTGTCAAATGGCATACTTAATGGTTCAGTTTTGCCGAATTACCTTAATTGATTATTATCGGTCGATTCAGAATTTACATTAAGATACCTTACGGTATTTGTGGTAAAGAACATATACATTAAGTTTGCACGGATGCATACAATCCGTAGAAGGCGTTGCAATCTACCCACCTTTTATTATAACGAAGCTAAACTTGTCTGTCTCTCTGTCCGTCCGTCCGTCCATCCATCTGATATCTGTCTATGTATTCTTGCATTCAACCTACAACAGATCGCAATTTTTGCTATGTTTTAATGACGTGTTTGGGCCCAAAGACAAACACTATTGAGAATAATTCAGAACGGAATACGTCCCATATAAAGCCTTACTTTGAAAGACTTTTATGTAAATGATTTTATGTAAACGACATAACAAAAATTTGATTGAATCAAATTTTTCCCTTTTTCGCATGTAGGCGTGTAGGTGTGTTTGTAAGCGTGCCACAATCATTTTAGAAATTCTACCTAGCAATTAAACCTTGATGAGAAATTCAACGATAATAAGAGAGGGGCACACTTGCAAGGAGGGACTGCTAGAAGCGTTTTAATGGACGATCTCATTGCATTATATTACATATATACACTATCGTGTCTGTCATGCATATATTGTAAATATTCTAAGTACAATGAAAGTGTCGATTTCTTCTTCAAGCTTCTTTGGTAAATAAACCGAAACATAATAATAATAATAATAATAATAATAATAATAATAATAATAGTTATACAACCATGCTAAAGGCAATTAACGGGAAATTGATAACGACTTTTAAATAACTATGTCTGATACATTTACTCTTCTGAGTAGTTGATGTGAACGACACAAATTAATATCGATTTTTTCCATTAACTTCATAATAATCAATACTTTAAAGAGAAAGAAAGTGAACTACTTGCTCTGCTCGACATATATCAGAGTGTGTCGGTGTTTACATAACGTTGATGGTTGCAAAATTAAAAAGTGCATGCGGAAAAGTAAGAGTACGTGTATGCATTAAAATAATTCAAAAAAAAAAAAAAAAAAAAAAAACAAAAAGCATGCAATATTAGGCTTCCTGTGTTCTTCTCTTGCCATACTTTTCCCTTTAACTTAATAAATATTTTGAAAACTCGCCAAAAAGAAAAAAGAAAGGAAAGAAAATAACTCAACTAATTTAAAGTCGTCGTGTCCTTTCATATTGGCCAAGTATTTTTACCTTGTCATAACACAATAAAAAAAACTTTTATGATATAGTTTACTTGAAAATGGTAGAATGAGTTACATGAGTATGTCACATACGATTTCCTTTAAGATAAATATTCGACTTTTCCTATATTGAATTTTACATTGATGTGATTAGATTACGTTAATAATATTACACCCGTTACAAGTATATGGATAGAAACGCAGTTATATGCAAACAAGGTCGGCGAGAAAAACGAAAAAAGTCCAGATAAGTGTTCGATCGGTAGTTCTTCGTTAAGACTGTTGAGATGACGTTTACGGCTTCAAAAATGTATATGGAAAACATTCGATCCTTGCTCCTTTCATCTTTCATTCATCAAACTAAATTCACATATCATTTAAATTGTTCCGTAAGCTCGTCCGCAATAAAATTTATTTCTTTACCTCATTATTTAAGTAGAGTTCGAACTTTTTCCTAATAAAATCTCCTTTTAAAATTCAAAAATCTGCTAAACCGAACAAGAATTTAGTTCACCATTACCAGAAAAACAGAAAAAGCAAACAGAGGGCTTAATATGTCCACATCGATTTTGACAGGAAGATATTATTCAATACGGTATACGATCGATATAATGAGCGAATCAATCTACGCTTAACGTAGTGGTTAGGAAATTAAAAGGCGGGATGTAATTTTCTTCGTTCTTGTTATTTTTAAAAACTGTTACCATTTGCTGAGACAGTAAACCACTGCATCATTTCAAGTCTGACTAAAATCATCGACATCAGTTAAACTTTTTGGCCAGAAATTCCAGTATAGATATAATAAAATTTTCGGTCCAAAAAGGACGATCGGCAATACCTTTCGTATCCAAAACATCAAATTTAAATAATGATTTTCGAAATCCATTGACTTCGTTTTGAAAAGTCACTAATGGCTGATTAGAACGTGGATGTAGATGTTACCTTAAGTTCTTCCCAATAATTTCATCAAATCTGAAAATGATATTTTTTAAAAATCAAATTACGAACTCTATAAACAATGGTAACTAACAGCTGCTCTAGACAAATTTTTCGAACTCTGCAAAGAACTACGACGCATGCATTTAATAATTCATATGAAATGCGAGTTTTCATCGACTCGAATTTTCAAAATTATTGTTTAAAAAAATTTTCGGATGTTTTTTAATTTACAGTTTGAATCTATTTTAAATGAAATTTCTTTTCCTCTGCAAAAACATATCCTCCGAGCTAGTGCAACGAAAATGTCATCTTCATTTTTTTTTCTCATTTTTTTCATCTTGAACCTAATAAGCTTGCTTGCAAAATATAAACATATTCACTTTAATTTTAAAAGGAATTAATTTTGTGTGTTTCACATTCGTTCTGATTCGAACGTGAAATTTTTCTAATTATTATTTGCATTTTTAACTTACCTGTGATCCTTTCGATGTGTATTAGTACTATTGTTATGCACACAATATGTCGTATCACCGGACGACCTGGGTCCGTCTTCCTTGCAGTTGAAGCCCTGAGTGGCGTTCATTATATTAACACCGTGTTTATGTTGCAGTACGCTATCCTGTTCAAATGTTGGATTCACATACTGTTGATCCGTTTTTTTATTAATTGCATTGGCTTTTTCCGAACGCTTACCGAGCGTCATAATGTTGTACGCATCCAAAAATGCCTACCATTGAAGCAGTGAACAACTCTATATTATAATTTGAGGAGTTTTTAGCAAAACGGCCATAAGAGAAGAAAGTTTTCATATCTCCTTGCTCCTAGCGTTTTACGATCTTAAAAGTTCTAGATACATATTTATTTATATATCAATATATGCGATAAGAGAGACATTTACGGTAATGGGCTTCACCATAGATGGTACGTAAAGTGAAAGTGGAATCTACTGATTTTCTTTGTACATAAATTCGAAAAGCGGCGAAAATGGAAATAATGCAAAAGAAAAAGTTAATGACTTATCGGATATCGGCAGTTGTTTGAAGTCGAGTAAAGCTATATTTTTTGATCGGTATCAATTGCTCTACTGGCCCAGATTGAGACTTCTGGAATGAAATTTCCCAAACCACTCTTGCTTCAATGTCGCCTAAATGATAGATGTAAAAAAAGTAAATCTTTTCTTCGTTCTGATATTACAAAGCATCCCATTTAAATGAATACGTGTTTCCGATAATGTTTCCTTTGCTGATACATATAAAATTTCGAAAGATTTTCTTTGTTTTCTGATAAGAAAAACATATCCACATACATACAAACATTGTTCACATGTTTTTCTTTGTAAGTGCTGCAAGTTGCATGACAAATTCAATATACTCCAAACCGGTCATATATGAAGACTTAAAAGTGCCGAAAAGAATTATCTTTACCTATTGTTAAAAAAGAGAGAAGCATCTAAATTACGCTATCCATTTCCCTTTTAAAGCGAATTCACATAAAAGAAGAAAAAAATTTATGGACGAGTTATAAGTAAGAAATAAACATCAATAACAATCAATGAGCGAATCAAAACAAATAACTCACTTAATATTAGGAATCTCTACGCAATGAATCGTTTCAGATTGATTTGTTTAAAGAAGCATTTATTTATTAAAATTTAGAAAATATGCTCACGTATATACGAATGTAATTAATTTGTAGGCATCTACGGTTCGACCTAATACATAAACTTCTTCACTTATTCTTTGTTCGATTTTTGGATTCGTATTCAAGAACAATAGAAGCCGAATATAATTCTAACTGATGCTAATATGTTGGCATAATTTGGCCATTTTCATCGTTTCATTTTCTTTTTTTTTTCTCTTTTTGCAATATATTTTTTAATTAATGATAATTAATTAGATTTATATATATTTTCTGTTTAAACATAGATTTTTTTTTTCTCAATGCAACATACACTAACACTCGGGTAATTAACCTGCAGATAGCAGTTCTGCTGTTCACTCGCGCACACACATCATAAAATTTCTTATTGTTGTTGCTCCCATTCTAATGATTGTTACGTATTTTGATGCAAAACAATCTATCCATACTTTATGGCCACTTATGCATACGTACTTGCATCTATATATTCTTATTACCGTGTTGTTGTTATATTTTACACTCTTGCATAGAAACAAATACTCTTAATCCGTATAGCAAAAAAAAAAATTTTAAATCAAGAAAAACAAAGCACATCCGCATCCAATCGTCTTTTACCCACTACACATACGAATTGACCAACCAACAACAATAAACTGAGACAAAAAAAAAGTTGATTGAAATATTTGTCGAACACAATAATCAGGGATGAAAAATCACGGCACCGTTATTATATAAAGCATTCTCTAAAAAGGTACTTTCATAATTTATTATATTTATTTATTTTTACCTTACTTACGGAACGTATTAATAGATTTTCATATACGTTGGTTAATTCATAATTAATGTTGTATATCAAAAAAACATTACATTTTTACTTCTTTCCCAAATATTATATAGATAATATATTATATATTATTTTTCTGATTCACATTCGTTTGAAAGTGTCTAAAGGAAATCAATTTAATAAGGTTAGAGAGTAAAACATCTAAGTACTCCAAGTGCAATAATGAGTTAATTTAATGTGAACTAATTTAGACTTTAAAAGTTGAATGATTTCTTCTCTTCATAGTGGTTTGTTTAATATACTCTCGTCGATATATTTGAAGTTTTCATAGTTCAAGGGAGCCTTGATATCGTTAAGTATTATCACGACAAATAACTCAATATTCTATCGTATCCGAACAATACAGAACACTATATATAAGTTTAAGTATTTTTAAATTTCTTCTAGTACATACGAAATCAACCCTGTGCAACTTATGATTTTGCTTTTACTTTAACGATTGTATCTCCCAAAATAACAAATCTTTCCTTTGTTTCGTCTTTTACCAATTTTCATCAAAATAATCCGTTAGGTCTTTCTAAATGTGTCCTGTCTTCCCCTAATCAAGTGACAAATATGATTCCGAAGAAAAAAATTCGATGTCTTATTTGCCAATCTGCAGCGAAAAATGGAGTCTCCTTTTTATATACACGAATGTATAAGACCTCAATTTTTTTAAACATAAATTGTTCAATTTTGAAAGTATGTATCTTCTTCTTCTACAATTCAGCAAATCAAAAACCGAAGATTCGCTACGTTGCATAAAAAAGGTTCAATGCGAATACGAAGTTCTTTGTTTAAACCTTAATAAAGTTATTAATAAAGTTATTTAATTCTGAAAGCATATATATAATTGGGCGCTAAAGATATGCCAAGTATATCATCACTTTTCTTTCATTAAAATGATTGAGTGTATTGTGGCAACCATAAAAACATACAATGATAACAATACGAGATATTGAAGATATTTACCAGCTGTGCTAATGAATGTTATTTTATCGTATCTAAGCAGCGGTGCAATTTTTCGTATTGTTGCGAAATTAAGTAACACATTAGCTGGTGAGCAAGGGTGACGTTATTTTTTGTTTTAGGTTTTAATATAACAAAGGTTAGGTTTTAATATAAATAAGTCGTACGAAGTCCACGGATGTTATGATATGTACCGGCTATTCATTAGTTTTTTGCCTGATGAACTAACTGCTCCAAAATCACACACACAGGAGCGATATTCTTTTGCCGGCTTACGAATTCTTTAATAAAAATGCCTTGAAACCAAAACTTTTTCGAACATAATAACGTTTGAATAGGACTGTCAATATTGAACGAAGCAATATCTCTCTGACGTGCGGAACTAAACTTAAAAGCACTGTATTTCCTCGCATCATCCTCTGAGAGCTTATTTCTGAAGTACTTCGCAACCGCTTCCGTGCGGATTTACCCCGGTCTTAGGTCAATCATATCGCACTGCCAGCAAGAGTAGTTAAAGAAGATCAACTGCTACTGCTCTTTTGGAGTTTTGTAATCCAATTTACAAAGCATTTTCCAACAAATTGTTTTGTTTATGATCGGTTGGTTTTTCGAACAGTATGAATGCCTGGTTCAGTACCTATCTCTCTGGTCACAACCAACGGGTAACGCAGAATTCTTGCCAACTACAGAGTAATTGTCGTCACTTCTGGTGTGCCTTAGAGCAGTCATGTTGGTCCGCTTTTATTTATTTTATATGCGAATGACCTTCCTAAGTGTATTCAACATTCCCGTGTTTTAATGTTTGCAAACGACGGTAATCTTTCCCTATCCTTTGATACATGATACTAAATTTCTTCAGAATGATCTTGAGAACCTGTGTTTATAGTGTGCAATCCATTGCATACATCTTTCATAAGACCAATTTCTGAATACTCCTCGGTAGTTTGACTGCCATGTGTGAGTCAAATTGTCAATTGTAGCAAAGATCTTCCTTCATGCGTTTCAGTTATTTGAATTATACTTAAATTTTTCATTTCATTGGAAATTGGAAAAAAAGAAACTAACACTTGCATATAATTTGTTAAGCGCACTGGCCGTGATATTTAAAACAATAGCATAAACAACTTTGTTAGTCATAAAGCAACGATAGAAAATTCCAAGTTTAAACTATTTACATAGGTAGAAGGGAAAATGGTCGTATTATTATTATAATATGTAAAAAATACAGATAAAGATTTTCTTTTATTAAAACAATCATAATAATAAAATCATAATAAATCATTTTTTTCGTGATTGGTCTTGCAGTTGCTTCGATTGCTTGGAGAAGAAACAACTATTTAGTAGTAGCGGAGTCGCTAGCCATTGTTTCAAATGTTGATGGCACAGTACATGCAATAGAGAGACCACTGGACGAAGCAAGAGTGAATAATGTAGCAAATAGTGAAATGAGAAATGTAAAACATAATAAGAAAGACGGACAATGCAACGCAAGAGAGAAAATTTTAAAGATGATTTTTCAAAAACGCTTAAAACTTTAGATAATGGCTGCGAAGAATTCATAGTCTGAATATACTTAATATTCATGTTAATACATGTAATTTTGTGTAATATATTCACGTATATGAATTTATTAATTTTTTAATTAACAGCATATAAGTACAAGTACAGCATAAGCATAGTATATAAGTATAAAGTAAGTAAAGCGCGTTTATAATCTGAAGTAAAAGTTTCATTCCAAAGTGTTAATGCAGATAAGGAATAGTTGCTTAAATTTCGATGAAAAGCGCCAGGACCTGTTCTTTGATCTATTTATTACGATGTATATACGAGTATATTTGTATATATATGTACAGATGTATATTCACACCTCTCTGTATATATATATATATATATA